TCAAGCTCCACACTAAGGGAGGCGGAGAGTTAGCCAACCCATTCCCTCCCTATGACCCGATCCCCGTCTGTTTCTCTCCCCCTTCAAAGCCAAACCAAAGGACGCAAACTAAGGAAAGGGCAGGCGCTGAGGATCCAAGGTTTCTCTGTGGTGAATCCAACCTGAGTCTGCCATTAAAGTTCTTCATGTCTTAGAAAGAACTGGAAACTGAGAACATTTTCTCTGGCTTCACTAGCAGAAAAAATGAAACTGGTAATGAAGCAGAAGCACCATGTCAATTGCTTAAAGTTCACTCACATTTAACATTTCACACACCATTTACATTCCAGTTCTCTCTCTACCAAGTGAAAAAGGTAGTGGTGCCCTTTGGGGCTTAGCAGGATGGCCGGCTCCCCCTCCCTTCCCTTTTTTCTTCACTGAGTGGTGAGAGATCTTCGTGCCAACTGAAACCGTCTGTGGCTCAGTGACACTCCCGCCCCCAGCTGAGTACTGAGAAATCACTTCCATCATGAATAAAAGAGCAACGATCCTACACAGAGCCCTGACTGGTTTGTCAGATATCATCACACACTCGGCAGAGCCTACTTTTGAGTTTTGGAGCTGCGACTTCCTGTCTTGATCAATGAGATTCAACCTGCAGCATCGGTTTCACACACCATGCATTCCAAAGAGATTTGGCAAATAATATCAACATTTATTGAGTGACTTCTCTGTTCCAGGCTGCTGTTATAGGCTGAATTATTTGTATGTTGACAAAAAAATCAAAAATTCGTATGTTGTACTTCAGAATGTAACCCTATTTGGAGTCAGGGCCTTCAAACAGGTGATCAAGTTAAAATAAGGCCATTACAGTGGGCCATAATCGCATCTGACTCGTGTCCTTAGAAGAAGAGGAAATTTGGGCACACAGAGAAACACCAGGGGTGCCTGTGGGCAGAGGAAAGACCATGGGAAGAGGCAGCAAGAGAGAAGTCATCTGCAAGCCGCGGAGAGAGGCCTCAGAGGAAACCAAGCCTGCCGGCACTTTGATCTTGGACGTCCAGCCTCCAGAACCGTGAGAAAATAAATTTCTCTTGTTTAGACCACCCAGTTGAATTAATGCAGGTAGTGTTCTGAAGAAGTTACATACAGTAGGCTTCCTTTTCGGCTTATCCACGGGGTTGCGTTCCAAGACCCTCAGTGGATGTCTGAAACCTGGGATAGTACGGAACCCTATATATACTATGTCTTTTCCTATGGATACATACCTACGATAAAGTTTAATTTATAAATTAGGCACAGTAAGAGATTAACAATGATAACTAATAATAAAACAGAACAGTTATAACAATATACTGTAATAAAAGTTATTGTAGATCTTAGCAACCTCAGCATAGGATTTTTTTCTCGTTCCTTATTAAGATTCAACCTGTAGCATCGGTTTCACACACCTTTCACCTTTTCACTTAAAGGAAGCGCTTTATGACTTTCTTTGGTCATATCCGAATTGCAGGCATCACTACTCCTGCACTTTGGGGCCATTATTAAGCAAAATAAGGGTTACTTGAACACAGGCACTGTGATACCACGATAGTAGGTCTGATAAGCAAGACAGCTACTAAGTGACCAACAGGCAGGTAGAGAATGGTGCACAATTTAAAACTTATGAATTGTTTATTTCTGGAATTTTCCATTTAATATTTTCGGACCTTGGTTGATCAAGGGTAACTGAATCTAAGGAACACGAAACCATGAATAAGAAGGGACTGCTATATATGAACTCAGTTCATTCTTACAACAACCTGTGTGTGTGGAGCAGGAGGAGCATTATCAATATCCTTTTGCAGATAAGGAAACTAAAGCCCAGAGCTTTTAAAAGACGAAAGTTAGAAAAAAAGATTAGGTGGCAAATAAGTGATTGAGCTGGAATTTAAATGTCTGTACTTTGCCTCACAGGCCACGTACTGAACCATTACACTGTTTTGTCCCTCTACGTTCTGAGGAGCCCTTCTTTATGCACCAATATGTTTCTCTTGCAATCTTTAAGGAACAAGGAAACTTCATATTGTATGTATTTTACTATCAAAAAATAAAGTAATTTAAAAAGTAAAATAAAAATAAACTTTCTTAACACGTTTCACTTCCATGCCAGCTGAGGCCAGTTCATATTTCCTCCCCAAGTGCCCCTTTGCCTTTGCAAACAGGCCCTGGGAGCCCTCCCTAACCACTGAACCAGTGCCAGGGCCAACGGGCATGAAAAGAAGGCAGCCAGATGTCAACAGAGAGAATTACGCTCAGATTGTATTGAACACTGACTTGCAACCCGGCTCAGGAAATTCAGTGCTATTCATGGGAGCCAGAACCCTTATCTTAGACTGCCAGAGATCTCACACTGGGAGATAATTAAGGTCAAATCACTTATTGGTGGTTTGAATGGGGAAAAGTAGTGGGCTTTTTAGCTAACATTTTCTAGTGGCATTTTTAGTGTATGTACAGAGGAAGGGAATAAGTTCTAGCAGAGGGAAGCTGACAGATATAAACGGGAAATGAGCTGCAGCGTCCTTGTTTTCTCCTGTGACTATGTATAGTTGGTACATACCCAGAAGTCTCAGCAAACCCTTCCAGAGAGCAGAGTTCCTACCTTGTGACAGCTACAACAAAGGTGAGCAGATTGCTCTGTGATAAAAGCCACTCAATGGCATCATCTCTCCAGCCAGCGAAAAACAGATCCAAGGCAGCCATCTAGCTGCAGGTGAGTTCACAGTAATTTGATGTTCTGAGGAACTGTTGTTGAAAAACAATGAATTTACATCCATTATGCCCAGCGTCAACTTCAGAATGATTTTATCATGCCTGCTCTTGTGTGGTTTAGCTGCAAAATGTGAGCTGTGACAGACTGAAGCAGAAAAGGAACAAATTTGCATGTTACTGGGTTGGAAGCCCTTTGATTGTTGGAGAGGCCAGATGATGCTGTCAAGCGCTTGCAGATAGCGGCACCGAGACACCCCAGATCTCTGCTCTGGGCAGCTGACAGCAAATGATTTAGAGTCAGCACGGGATCAAAGAGTTGGGACTATCTGAAGTAAAAGTGTTAAAAACACAGAGAAGCCTGCATCCTGATAAGAGGACATCACAGAAGAGAGAAATGCACAGAAAGAAAGAAAACGACCTTGAGTCTGTAAAATGTTACAAGGCTCAGAATTGTAAGATGTCTGAAATGAAAAGAAAATGTGCAGCTCTAATAAAAGCTTCAGAGCTGGAAAGCTTGGAAGTTGTATCCTTGCTACAATCAAACAAGAGAAAGGGGAGCGACAGATTACTGCACGGATTGTGATCACAATTACATTTCTGTTTTCAGGGGCTGATCATTTGCTTGCATAAGTAGGTCTGTGACTACACGTGCATTTTAGCTGAGCATGCCTCCTTGGTGTGAAATGCAAGACTTTCAAAATACAAATATTCTTTTAAGAAGAAAAAGACTGAGGCTGGCCTGGTGGCGCAGCGGTTAAGTTCACACGTTCCGCATCTCAGCGGCCTGGGGTTCGCTGGTTCAGATCCTGGGTGTGGACATGGCATCGCTTGGCGCACCATGCTGTGGTAGGCGTCCCACATATAAAGTAGAGGAAGATAGGCACCGATGTTAGCTCAGGGCCAGGCTTCCTCAGCAAAAAGGATTGGCAGTAGTTAGTTCAGGGCTAATCTTCCTCGAAAAAAAAAAAAGAGAGAGAGAAAAAGAAGAAAAAGACTACTCAGTGGCAATAGTCAAGTCAAAACTTACTATTTAAAGAAGCAAATAAAATATTGGAAATGAGACTTTAAGTAGAAACGTAAGTAATAAATTTCCTGCTTTGGAAATTGACTTTTCAGCAAAGCGTGCCACATAATAACATACTCATCAATAGGGAGTAAATTAATGACTCTCCCAAGACTGCATCTTCTGGCAGCAGTCTAAGTGTTTCGAATCTGACTCCCCAATTTCTGTTTTTTGGGTTTGGGGACGTTTTTGCCTATTCCCTACTCTCCGTGAAAACAGCTAGCTACTGCCACCAAGTCTGTAATCCCCATTCGGAGAGAAGCACAGAGAAGATGAGTAACAGGCATAGCCAGTTGGAAAATTTGAGCCCCAATTTTTTCACTTAAAACTTCTCAGAATATGCAGACAATGCCCTGCCCATGTCCCCCCTTTAATCTGTACCTGGGCATCTGTACTAGAAGGAAAAGCCTTACAAAAACTAGATAGAGATCATGTTTTCTGTATTATGCGAGTCCCTTTTTCAACCAGTGAATATAAGATAAGCCACTGTGGGCACTCATATAAATATTTGCTTTTAGCGCCATCATACCAATAGTCCAGTCTTGAAAAGTGAATTTTCCAGAGTAAAGGCCATTTTATGACACCTCTCACACTCACACTCAAATTCAGATATTTGTATCTGGTTTCGGTTCACTGATCTAGCATATTTCTAAAAACTCTTCCAAAATTTACCAGTTTCTCATTAACAGTTTTTAATTGAAAAAGAAATTTCCCCAAACTCCAGCTGGAGTATGATCATGTAAATAATATTTACCTAAATTATACCCTAATGTGTATTTGACAAGTATAAAAGAGTTTTGCCCAGCAGCCTGAAATGTTTCCCCAAATTTTTATGGCTTGCTGGTGAACACTTAACATATCAGAATATGCTAAAGGAAATTCTAAAAGCCTTAATTATATGATTACTTTGCCTGCACAGGAAATCATTTCCTTCTAAATATTGTGCTTCATCTTCTCTGATTTCTGAATTCATGGCAAATCTCCCGGCATTTATTTGTTTTTTTCTTTGACCCGTGCAATTAACCACGGTAGAGAAAAATAGCTATAAGAACTTTACCACATTGTGCAATGTTCTAATAAAACACAAGAGGGCAGGTTTTGCTTTAGCGTAAGTCATTCCCCTCTGCTGTTAATCAGGATGGTCATTGTGCTCATTACAAATTCAGAAACACTCAATAACATACAAAGTGAATGAGTAATCAGAGTGTGGACTCTGGCAGGAAGTTCTGGTATTTTAATAAAGAAGGACATTCTGCAAGGTGTTATTTACAACACAGAGAACAATTACATTTGAGAAACACCTGTTTTAGCTTATGTTTATAAACCACCAAAGGAGCAGAGAATGGCAGGAAGAGAAAGGACCAAATTCAATCATGTTACATCCAAGAAGTCCGACTTGAGTCAACGTGGCAAATAACACAGGTGCGTTAATGATTTCTGCAAATAGATATAGTCTTGGTGAGAATACAGAGTGCATATAGGCCTTGAATAGGAATCTTTTGTTTTCGTTTGTTTTGTCTCTTTGTAGAAAACTTTAACTTATCCTATTGCTCAGAATTTTCTTGTGTGTTATTTTCAAGATTTCATTAAACTACCTGCCAAGGCATAATTAAGTTCATAGAGGTTATTTTCAGCTTGAATTGCCATTAAAGATAAAGTCCTGTCATCTTTGGAGAGTTTCTGGAGAAACTCTTAGGTCCATCGGTGTAAGAAGGGCACTGGTTTGCCCGGCTGAATAATGCGCCCACTAACTCCGTCCACTGAAACAAGGCTTTTAAGACATCAGATAGTGGAAGGCTTTAAAATGATACTGTGGGGTCTTAACTTTCTATCTTTGTCCCTATAAATGGTAGAATTAAGGCCTACCAACAATGGGGGGAAGATACACTCAAGAAGAAAATAGGGCTGAAAAGTATCCCCTTGTATTGGGTTGCATAGAGTAAAATTCCACCTAGTATATGTACAACTCAGAATCTGAAAAATAGGTTGTTATTAATTTCATGGTCCAAGTTCTACTTTGAGATTAGTTTATTCATTCAAAAAATATTTATAGGGAACTCAGGATGAGCAAGGCACTGTAGAAACAGGAAGAGTTTAACCTTGGGATTTGCCATTGCATCAAGGAGAGTAATTATCTCCCAGTTGTGGGGAGGAGTGGTGAATTGGCTCTTTTATGCCCCTGTATCAGTGAACCATCAACAGTTTCTGAGTACTTAAAGTGCTTTGAAAGTATGGCAGTGGAGCTGTACAGAGAGAGGTACAATCTGACCTCTCCAAGCTTCAAGAAACTTAAAGTCTAGATGTGGAAGCGGACACGACATAACCATTGCTTCCTTGGCTCTAACTTCCTTATTCTGAGGGTCTCCAACAAGCTGACTGACCTGGAAGCCTTTCCAGGAGGATCTGTCACTTAGCTGCTGCAGGATCCTTCCTGGTCAGTGACTTAAGTAGCCACCCAACGCCACTCCTACCATACGATCAGTCTTTAGACTAAGGGGACAGCAAAACTCTTCACCTGAAAAAAGGCTGGTGTCTGCTTTTCCCACCTGTATAACAGAATGCCAGGAAGTAGCAATTCCTTAGAAACTCAAAAGAAAGTAGAAACATCAGTTTAAGAACTTATTTTCAAAAGTGAAGTAGTTGTTACGTAGTTTTTATATATATACACATATCCAATATATGTATATTGAATGTCAAAAAGATGGAAATTTATGTCACAAATTAAAAAACAATAGCCCCCAACAGACAAACAATAATGTGCAAAACAAGGTTTATTTTTATTTTCTTCTTTAATAAGTTTTAGACTTCTTGTTAACGTGGGATTGAAATTATTCATTAAGATTATTATAATTAACAATGTTAAATCCTAAGCAAGACACAAATTAATGTCAAAGAGTTAGAATTAGAAGAGAATTTAATTCACAAAGGAAGGATGTTAAAGGATTTCAGTTCACTTCTGAATGTTAGCTTTGTAAAAGCATTCCTTTTGAAATCAAAATTCATATACATGCAGTTTTTCTAATACTGTGCATAGAAGCATATAAAGTGATCTATTCGTTTTCTTCAAGGTTGAATTTTTTTCCCTATTAATGAGAAGTATAGCCCTACAGTGCTCGGTGATATTGCCTGAGTTTATCTGCATAATATTCAGTGTAAGTAAATACCAACTTTTTTATTCCACATGTTTGTTCTACCTTTAGATTTGTTAAAAGGTTTACTGATCATTGATTTATTATAATGTTAGAAAATGTTAGAAAATTTTATTCCTCTTATATGAACTACAAAATTAGGCAATTATTTCTCTTAGGAAGACATTATAAAACATAATATTTATAAAAAGTAGCATTGCTATATATAAAAGTAGCTAAGTATAAATGATTACTCTTTTTTTCTACCTCAGATAGATCTTGCTTCAAAAAAAATCTTATGGGAATATGATGCATAAAAATTCTGATATACCTGGAAGATAAGCTAGAGGTTGTTATGTGCTTTATAGAATTATTCGTAATAGTTCATCTATAAAAAGTAATTTCCCCTGATGCTTTTAACGCATAATTGATTTATACCTAACTTTTCAGAAACATATCTACCATGCACAATTATAGCTTCATTTTAATATATTTCTCTTTTGGTTTAAAAACAGGATGTAAAAATGTGTTCCTCAACAACCCTGAGTTCAGAGCATAAATCTTCTAGAGTGGAGCATGTTATTGAACCATTGCTGAATTTTCCACGAATAAAGGCAGGAGTTGAGATCTATGTATGTGGTTGTGGCTAAAAATGCCCAAGAGGGGCTTCACCCCCTGAAGAACTCGGGGCTATCTTGATTCTCATCCACTGAACCTACTCTCAGATATACCTGTAGGATTATGAGACTCACTCAAACTCAAATTCAGGTCACATTGGGCTTTTTCATTTTTCTGGCTTTTACAGTCTTATTCCAGCAGATAACACTATCTTAATGAATCTTGCACCTTCTAGGCCCCCCATATATAGAAGGCAGCTCCAGGAGTCTATCAACACTCATTCACTCCAATAGAGAGGGGCTGAAATGAACAGATAGATGGGCCACCTTCTAGAACTTTGGGCTCACTCCTGATGCACAGGTACCAGATAGGAGCAGATGAAATTTGCCTTGAAATCTCAATGACCATTAAGTTCTCAGCAAGCATCATCTTAATAAGTCTAAACCTCTTAGTAAAGACTACCTCATTCTTATATCTCTTGACCTAATGATTGCTTAGCAGAACATAACCATTTAATTCTGAATTGTTATATTTTGTATGGATGGTTTGCTTTTAAATGATAACACTTAATCGATGAGTATTCGTAAGTAACTGTCAGTACGGTGCGGCATTAATGAATCTGAAGTCAACTCTTAAAAATAAGCCAAATGCATTATACGTGAAAGATTTTTCATCTGAGGCTGCCTAGTAAAGAAACTGGTTCAGGATCAGCCAAAGGGAGCCTCAGAGCAATGGAACACTAGTCAAATTGCCTCATATTCAGGATTATCGCCTCGCCAGCCTTCACCAGTCAGCGTTTCCTGGAAATAGTGATTCTATGCTTGTTAAGAGGTTTGTAACAACTAGAAAGCTCTATAATTTAATCCCTCGTCTATTTATTTATCACTATAGGATCAATGTTTATCCAGCTATTGAACCTTGTGATATGCCTACTGTCAGAAATGGCAGACTTGATAAATTCTGTAAAGTCCAATTTACAAAAAAGAACTGAATTTATCATTCATTCATTCATTTATTCTCCATCCTATTTGGAAAATAAGGCCTATTTTCATCTTCAAGAACATTTTAAAAGCTGGAGAAGAAAAGACAGAGAAGACAAAGAAGAAAAACAAGCCTCAGGAAAATTATCAGTTTCGGCACCTAAAAGCATAGATGTTTATAACTAAAATGGACCTTGGAGATTCATGTAGCACCTGCCACCCCCTACCTCCAGCCCATTACAAACGAAGACCTTTGGACCAAGAAAGATGGAACCGTGATCTGGTCCAGGTCTCAAATTACACTGACCCGTAAATTAAAATGAATCCACTCTATCAGGTTTTTTTTAGTGCTCTCAGAACGTGAGGAGGCTTAATCAACATAGGGAATTATTATGTGATACCACAAACCATCAGCTCTACCTTTGTTTGATGGCAGAGATAGCCTCTAGCACTTTAGCTTGAGTTTGCCAAACAAGCAAACCAGACTATAAATAAGCATCTTCTGTCTTTGGGGTCATCGCCACATTTGGAGGAGCTATGCCAAAGATCTTCAACTAAAGGAAGGATACTAAAGTTTGTTCATTGTCAGAGTCAGAACTACAACTTGGCCAGCTTCTTCTCTAGGGTAAGTGTGAGCATCCTAGGCTTCTTCTGTGTATCTCTTGCTTAAATGTGTCTCCATTAGGGGTGTATATCCTTTTCGAAGTCTTCTATACTGAAGGAAAACCAGTAGAGCGAAAAGACCAACCAAAGCCACCAGCATTCCCATAACCACTGACAGGGTTGTGGTCCAACCTGGAGTTTGTTCAACTGAAATTAAAGCAGAAGAGAAGAGTCTATGATTAGGATTTTCATCAGCTGAATACTCTTAGAAAAGGAAAGAATAAACCAATTTGCCTTTCACATGCATTTTTGTTGATAAAGCAAAACTACACTGGGTAGAATAAAATTTATCTTCCCCTTTCTTACCAACTATTTATCATATCCACAACTGTTTTTCTTGAAGAAGTGGGAAATGGAATTCCGTTATTTAAAGACAGTTTATTGCACTTTAAAAATTTCTTATAATAAATACTTATACAGAATAAACCCTCCAAGGAAGTATATAACTACCTTCGTGAGTTAAAAACTCATTTGTAAAATTGCAGGCTAAAATGGTGTCTGGGGAACTGCAAAACACACAACTCTCAGGTAGAGGAATTCTGCCTTTGTCTCTGCCTATGGATAGGGTGATAAATGTGTGAGAGAGATCAGATGGGCTGTTACAACAGGAGACATTCAATAACAGGAGCAGAGGAAATTTGTACCCATTCAAATAAAATCTGAATCTTCCCCATGATAGATCCAATCCTCTACTCAACTATATTTTATGAACGCTCTTCTACAAAATTAATGGATTTCATTTTTAGTATATTTATGCCTATTTGCCATGTCTTTCACAATTCTTTTATCCTTGGCCAGCTGTTCTTAAATTCACTTTCTCTGACTTGGATTTTTATTCTATACCCTACACTCATCTAGATGTAAAATTCTACCTCTAATTCTTTTCCTCCAATCCCACAGAGGGTCCTGACCCATCCTGAAGGGATTACTCCAAGAAGATTTTAATTTTTATCCTCCTGCTATAACCCAGCAGCATCTGGTGACAGTTTCATTTTCTTTTGGTTTTGGGGGGGGGGGGGTTTGACAGTCTCATCTTTTTAAAACATAGATTTTTATTCTGCCATTTCTTTGTTTAGGAATCAAATGATTATTTTTTTTAATTGTGGTAAAATGCATATAACATATATTTTACCATCTTAACCATTTGTAAGTGTTCAGTTCTGGGGCATCTGGTGCATTCACACTGTAGTGCAATCATCACCACCATCTAGCCACAGAAACTTTTTCATCAGAACTGAGATGGTAGCTCCCCAACCTCCTACCCCCAAACCCCTGGCACCCCCCATTCTACTTTCTGTCCCTATGAATCTGACTACTCTAGGTATCTCATGTAAGTAGAATCATACAGTATTTGTCCTTTTGTGTCTGGCTAATTTCACTTAGCATAATGTCCTCAATGTTCATCCACGTTGTAATGTGTGACAGAATTTCCTGCCTTTTCGAGGCTGAATAATGTTCCATTGTATGTATACAACACAGTTTGTTTATCCATTCATCCTTCAATGGACACTTGGGTTGTGTTCACCTTTGTCTATTGTGAATAATCCTGCTATGAAAAGAGGCATAACAATATTTGAGTATTTGATTTCAATTCTTTGGGGTGTATACCTAGAAGCAGAATTGCTGGATCATATGGTAATTCAATCTTTAATGTTTTGAGAAACTGCCACACTGTTTTCCACAGCAGTTTCACCATTTTACATTCCCACCAGTAGCACACAAGGATTCCAATTTCTCCACATCCTCGTCAACACTTGTTACTTCCTGCTTCTTTGGTAGTACTTACCCTAATGGGGGCGAAGTAGTATCTCACTGGGGTTTCTGCCTAGCTTTTAAGGCCCTCTGTAATCAGGCCCTTCTCCCAGATCCACCCTTAATTCACAGTAATCTTCTACTCAAGCCTTCCACTACCCCCAGGCTTTCTTCTCACAGTCCTCTATGTAGACAACGTGTACCTTTCACATTTGTGTTCGCAGCCCTTCTTCAGTCTAAAATTCTCTCTTCTTTCTCCCTAACCTACCTAAGATCTACAATATCTTTGAATCTAGTTTAAGACCCGCCTGCCTTCCCAAACCTCTCACCCCATTCTCCAACCTTTGGTTATAGTTATGTCTCCCCAGGCAGGATTGTAAATTTCTTTGTCAAACCAATAAATGAACATGAATTTGTATCTTCTAATGAATTAACACATTCTGGGCAGACTTAGGCTCTCTGTCTATACCTATTAATTGACTGACATCAGAAGAGATGGAAGCATGTCAAAATGCACATTCCAAACTTTTGATTATTATGATGTTCAATCCCAGAGAAAAGAGAAAGAGGTTGAAAGAACTATCCTCAGCTGCCCAAAGAAAGGAAACTTCAAATCAGTAAGGAGAACAAGCAGTATTCGAGGCAGAACTAGAACAAAAAGCAGAGGACAGGTTCCAGGGCCCAAAAGATGCTGAAGTCAGAGAGAGAGATGTGAGCTCTGAAACTGTTGTGGTAACTCTGTAGGCTGAGATGAAAGGAAGATGAGATAGACACAAATGAGGAAAAGCCACCAGCAGATAGGCTGTGTGTTTTTCAGCTTCTTGACAAATTAAGACATTTTTTATTGTTTGACCTTTCCTTTCTCGACCTGTCTAAAATTCCTTAAATGGCACGTGGAGCTATACTGGGGCCTAGGCAAATAGAAAAATGTGTGCCCTCATACACACTTATCAAAATATCCTCCCATATTTTGAACCAAGTGGGAAAAGTTAGTAAACAAATTTATAATTTAAAAACATGACTTAAAAAACTTTAATTAAAGATCACACACATAAAGCCTGGTGTAGCCCAAACTGTTGGCAGGCCAACATCAACCTCACAAACCCACCCAGCAGGAGTGGTCCGGGCTCGTTGGAAATAATTGGTCTTGTTACAAAATAATGCAGGGGTATAAAACAAACAGCAACAGCCTGTCTTTATCTAAAAATTTGATAGTGTATTCATCATGGATTTTTGGCATTAATTTTGATTTTTTAAAATATTGTGTTAACATTTTTACTTATCTCGGCTACTGAAGGTTTTGGCCTCCCCTTGACCTTTGTGCTCAAGGCAAATGCTGCACTTGCTCCACCCTAAATCCAGCCCCGCCTTCAAGCAAAGATCTTGAAGTCCTGCTGGTCCCTCCACACGTGGCTGATGCATTTTGATTTTATTGGCTAGACATTTCAAACCACGGCCAGTTTTCAATGAATTCAGATAGAATTGTCAAATCAGGTATAGGAGGAGATACTTCCTCTGTGGAATAAGGTCTCTTAACAACTTTCAATTTTCCAAAACAACAGTCATCTAACCAGTCCCTTTTCTGGTGTTTAACTGGTAGGTTAGAGGGTCGTTTTGCTAAATTTATATATATTCTAGAAAATTGCCAATAAACTTAATCAGATCTGCGTATATAACTTTAAGGTCTTGTTTGCATTAAAAAAAAAAAAGAAAGAAAGAAATGATGCCGGGTCGGGGAGCCAAGGAGTCGAAAGAAAGATTTCTTAGACTCTTAAGATCTGGCAGTAGTGCTCTTTTAATTAGAGAATAGTATGGAATAGCATGGGGACAGGACCCATGGGCAGTCAGAGCTTCTGCTGCCAGCGTGGGGACAGGACCCATGGGCAGTCAGGCCGCTGCATGGGGACAGGGCCCACGGACAGGAGGAGCCACTGCTGCCGCCGCTTCTGCTGCCCCCACTGGCATGGGGACAGGACCCATGGGCAGGCAGAGCTGCTGCTGGCATGTTGCTGCTGCCGCTTCTGCTGCAAACATGAGTGGAGTGTAAGGCTAATTTTCAGGCATGGGTATATGAGTCATCTCTTTACAAGACAAAGGAAAGAACATGAAAAAAAAGTTAAAATGGTATCAGTGCAGGTGGGGTCTGGTCATTGGGTGATCCCATGACTTTTAGACAAGAATCAAATCGGATTAAGTAAAGGTCAGAAGCCACCACACTAAATCAGCTACATGAGATTGCCAGACAGCAACCATCCCAAGTTCGTGCCTTCCCCATTAAGAGTTTCTAGAGACAAGGTCATCTCCCTTCCTTCACAAATGCAAATGTCTCTCAAGGGCAAGCAAATTGCACACCTTGGAGCCTGCTTCTCATCTGGAGTTTTAAAAGTAACCAGCCTAAAATCCTCATCAGAAAGAACGCTCCTTTAGAAGATGCATGAATCGCCCACTTAGAAACTGTATTGGTTACCTGGCAGGTCAATGGCGTAGCTGTAGCCAAGTTGGTCTGCGGTTAAAAAGAGTTCCTCATTAGTGACTGGAGGGAAGAAAGGAACCATGTTATACATCCGATTGTGACCAATGGGCGCCAGCTCCTGAGGCCAGGCTTCAGCGGGAGGATTGAATCTTCTCATCCACTCATCGAAAATGGCATCAGTAAAGGAATGAAGGACCTGAAAGAGAGGGGACCATGGCGTTTAACATTGGTCAGTCTGTTCAGTCAGACCATCTGATTGGAGCTTTCTCTGAAATGGAATGGGGTTCTCGAAGGAGGAAGCTCCATATACCCAGTCTAATCTTAGTGACATACCCAGTGGCGTTTTTAGTTTAGTTTTCAAGGATGGATGGCATCCCTCCAAACAGCACTATAAACCCCCTTGTCAAATGAACAAATGAAATTCACGTTGCAGATTTAACATTGATTTGGGGACATCTGAGACCTTCAAAAGTGCGTGTCAATTATTGAGTTCAGAAAAAAGGCAAGTACGATGAGATACACAGTCTAGTCAATATTCAGATGCTTTGGTTTTAAAAGAAAAGAAAGAAGAGGTTGTGTTTACCAGTACTGTAATACAGATGGACTGTAAAAAAAGAGAAAATCTCCAAAATGGGTTTTTAAATTTTCCTCACCAGGAACACCATTCTATATACTCATTTCATAACCCTCTCATTTGAAATCTCAGTGGTATGCCAGCAAAACAAAGTCTAAAATGTTGTAATGTGCATAGTGCTCATTTTTATTTTCTCAAGGAAGCTGTTGAAGACCTTTTCAAATACAGCAATTATTACAAGATTTAAAAGATTAACAGCAAAATTTCCACATGTACAGCCCAATTTTGCAACAGGATGTACATGTCAGAGTCCAGCCCAGGCTCGATGCCTGGCCACTAGAGATCCTTGTTCATTCCTAGACAGTAAATTCAAGGGGCTTAGGGACAGTGGCTGCTTTGCTTTCCCTCTATGGCCCCAGCACCTGTCACCCCAGGGCCTGTAACATGCAGCCAGGGAGGTACTTTTTCAATAAATATTTGTTAAGTGAATTCATTCATCCATTCACCAACTGTACCCAAGTGATAGCACTAGTCAAATTATATATAACTTGTTATCTATTTGTCTATTTCCCCTAACAAGACCCCTAACTCCTAAATGTCAGGGAGAGGATCTTTTGACCTTTGAAGACTCAGGCTTAGCAGGCAGCCTGGACAGTCGATGCTTAGTAAGTATTTGTTGGCTGAAGATAGTGCCGTGCAAAGCGGTGTTATTTTGTCCACAATTCAACCAATCAGGCCCCTTTCTCGTGGGTGCTGTTTCCTCAGCCTGTAATGCTGTTCCCTCTGTTTTCTGGTGTCAGTCTTTCAAGGACCAGCTCAATGGTCCCTGTTCTGAGACATTGGTCCCTGCCTGAATCCATGACTCTTTGCACTTCTAAAGTCCTTTAATTGTGTTGTTCTTCTGGCTTGTATTACTCTTATTTATTTAGTAGATAACATTTTCAAATCATACCCATGGTTCCTCCCCCACTCCCTTACTTGTATGTAGTTGCCCTTATTCAGGCAACAGTGAAAACTTTCTGCCTGTATTGTCTCACGTGGCTACGCTCGGGATAGTAGAAGAAATCAAGTGATTTACTAAAGGGATTTATTTCCTGAACAGACTTTTAAAGCTCATGGCAGAGACAATCACCTTATAAACCAAAACATCAAATTATAAGACCTGGGCTTTTAGTGAGAGAAAAGATTTTTTGAATTCTAAAGCCTTGGCTTTGAGTAACAAAATTTAAGCCCAGAGGGAATAAAGGCCTAGAGTTTATCATGTAAGCAACCACTTTGGGAGAAGACATGATAGTGCAAGTGATGAGTGTTTCCCACAGTGGAGTTCAGAAAAAGTCATCTTTGAGAAGGCGCATCACGTCTGGAAAAGGAGCAAATAACTTTTGGAAAGCATCGGAATTCACCTAGTGCAAAGTGTAAATAATTAAGGAGGGGACAAGACTAAAGCAATTCATAATTTGGAGAGATAAAAGAACAGGGAAAAATAATAAGGAGAGATTATAGGTCTCAGAAGGCCTATAAAACATGATACAATGAATGCTGTAGTGGGAACTCTGTCCAGAGAACCCAGTTTATAGACTGTAGTAAAGAAGGCAAGTGCGTGCCAAGAAGATGCAAAGGATGCAATAAACAAGATGCTATGAGCAAGAACGTGTCCACGGGCTAGAAAGAGAAGTGGTGCAACCAGCAGAATGGGTATTTTTGTTAAAGTTGTGAACATTGTCCCTACACGAGATACCTTGAATCACTCTTGAGAAACTAATGGTATCCTTGTGGATACAAGTTGAAAATGAGCTCAGTTATTATCTCTGTAAAGGCCAAATGTAATTTGAGGGTAATAAAAGTAAAAGGGGACTCTTGTGGCTTTATCTGCTGTAGAGATACCTAGCTATGTGATAGTGTTAAAAATTGAGTGCTTCAGAAATGAGGTTACAAATGTTGGTATACAAACCTATTCTACCTTGTTCCCACAAAATAAACATAGGTACAGGAAGAAAAAAAAGCAACTGAATTTCAAACTGGAGGCATTATTGAAGAAAATGTGATTACATAGGCTCTGAAGGTAAAGGTTTTTTTTTTTTAAACATAGGCAGTAAGCTTCTTTTTTTTTTTTTTTAAAGATTGGCACCTGAGCTAAGAACTGTTGCCAATCTTCGTCTCCTTTTTTTTTCCCCCTGCTTTTTTCTACTCAAATCCCCCAGTACACAGTTGAATGTTTTAGTTGTGGGTCCTTCTAGTTGTGACATGTGGGACGCTGCCTCAATATGGCCTAATGAGAGGTGCCATGTCCGCGCCCAGGATCTGAACCCTGGGCCGCCGAAGCGGAGCACGTGAACTTAACCACTCAGCCATGGGGCCGGCCCCAAAGTTTTTAAATGTAACCCTTGCAGGAGAAAGCAATTAATCAACAAATATTGTGCTTATGGGCATAAATAAACTTAATAAAATATGGGGAAAGCATGCTTATCTTTCTCAAGATCATTGGAAGATAAAGTTACTATTAAACTTAACCTTAACTTAGATGGCTGCACATTCAGATTCCTGCCACACTGGTGACATGAGAAGCGTTTTTGCCCACGGAGGAGTGCCATGGAAACCTGAGGCTGTCTGCAAAGACATTTGTATGTTACGAAAGACCGGCACACTGTGGTTGTCACGAGTCGAGTTTGCATGTTACTGTCCAAGAGATGTCATTCATCATCAGAGTGGATCTTGTTGTGGTAATGTGAACGTGCTCTGGTCCTCAGAGAATTTGTATGTGATCATTTAGAAGTCACATAGTAGACGTACAGTTCCATATGAGAAGTTCCAATTTAAAACTTAAGGTAGAAGGCCAAAGTAAAAGTTGAGTCACATTTTCTAAATGAGAGAATTCCTAAAAAACCTATTTAATCATGCTTATTATTTTGTGGTAATATTTATTTGTTCTTGCCTTGTTCTGCCAAGGATTTGAAGCAAGGTATAATCAAGATGTTGGTTTCACATTTCCCTAGATAAGCCATACGTCATAGGCAAAACATAGTTAAACAACACCCAAGCTTCTACTTAGCTGACGAAGCTCTGCCACAGGGAGCTGCTTACTCCGTACCTAGCATAGTGAGAGACGAGAAACAGTCACAGAAAAAAGGACATTGGAGCGATCATAGAGTCTTCCAGGCAGTGCTGAGGCAGGACAGTATGTTTTCTATTTTGCTCTAATTTTCTCTTCTTGTCCTTCCCTATCTATGCTCTCCTTGCATCCTAAGCAGACAGAATAGAAGATATTTTTCAGACATTTTGGAGGAGTTACATAAGGAAAGCACTATTTCTGCATAGATTTGTATAATAGCATTATTATTATTAAAATATACGTATGTATACATAAAATGTAACAATATACACTGTATACAAGATATAACAGCATGTATACAAAAAGAAATATCAAGAGCATTAGAAATTCAGTTGCTGGGGTCCAGCCCCGTGGCCAAGTGGTTAAGTGCGCGAGCTCCACTTTGGTGGCCCAGGGTTTTGCCGGTTCCGAGACTGGGCACGGACACGGCACCGCTCATCAGGCCATGCTGAGGCGGCATCCCGCATAGCACAACCAGAGGCACTCACAACCAGAATGTGCAACTATGTACTGGGGGGCTTTGGGGAGAAGACGAAGAAAAAATAAAAAAAGAAGATTGGCAGCAGATGTTAGCTCAGGTGTCAATCTTTAAAAAAGAAAAAAGAAATTCAGTTGCTAAGTCCCTGACGAAGAATGCTTGCAGTTTAAGGATTAAACTTTGAACGGATGCAAACAGATTCTGCTGTTAGTAAGTCAGCTTTAAAAGAAGTGACCAGTTCAGCATACACCTTAAGCAGACAAAACAAATCGAACAGAGAGAACCAGGGTGATGTCAGAGGAGATTCTAGATAAGAACGGAGATATTCCCAGGCTATTCGTGGCTAAGCAATAGCAAAGCTCTAGGAAAAGAGGAACTCAAATCAAAGCTAGAACTATCTTAGATTTGTATATAAATTGTAGTTTACCATTAGACTACTTAATTTCATCAATAATGAAGTATACATAGTTCATCTTTTAATATAGAGTTAGTTCTCAGTAGTGTATGTGTTTATCCCTATAAAGTCTAGAGTTGAAAAGAACACTTTCAGGTGCCATTTAGCAGCTGCCAAGTTAAAAAACCAAACCATCCCCCAGACCCAGCCTACAGAGATCCCGCCACTCTGGGAGACTCTGCCCAAGTAGGTGGCCAGCCACCTTCTCTGACAGCTCAGCTCCTATAAAATTCACCAAAAGTTTATGCTACTTAGGAGTTAGCGACTATACATGTCAGTTATTTAAAAATACATACGTTAATTAAGTGAATGTGGCATTTTAAAAACATGAATGCTTCAAAAGCCAAGCAAAATTATTCAGACCTGCCCTTCACGAATTAGTCTTAATTCCTGTTAACATGATCTAACAGGACTACATTTCCTCAGCTATAATGAAATTAATTGTGAAAGGATCAAATTAAGAATTATCTAAACTGACAAAAGGCAAAACTGGAGCTGGGAGACTTGACATGGGGACATTTTGAGTAAGAAACTGTTTTTCTTTTTTTTTTTAGAGGAAGATTAGCCTTCAGCTAACATCT